CCCCGCAGTCAGTGACAAAAGGCACAGAATTGCATCTGTGAGTTTCTGAGAGGCCTGGCTGTTGTCTTAGCCCAATAAAGGCATGACCAGGGATTGCGTTGTCACGTCCTGAAAATAAAAATACGAAAGTAAAGGTCTTCTGATTAAGACATCAGCGCTACACACGTCTTTATTTGTTCTGTCCCAGTATTTTTTAAAAAGTTCGAGAAAATTACAGGGGGCTTTGGTTTTGAAGAACTGAATGGTGTTTTTATAACGTCACGAGCTGTACTGCGAATCCTTCATTATGGTTCACTTCTCTGCCCTGTGCACAGAGGGGTGGAAACGGAAGGGTTTTCAGAACGTTCAGAGAATAGATACGAGAAGAACAGCAGAATTTAAACCTGTTAAAGTGTGTATAAAAGGCAGGGTTTGTGTCATAAACACATTTTTCTTAATTCATCACAATGTGTTGTTAGATGTAATTCTTTGATCTGTCAGGACTTCCAGCTGAGTCTGAGAAAAAAGAGACTCGTTACAACTTGGGTATATAATCTACTGAAAATACACGTTCCTCTTCCCCCTGCTCCAACAATCCCTCCAAACTGCAGTCCATTCATGTGGGATTTCGAGGATGCAGCTCTGAGTGGGAATCAGTAGTTTCTTTGTTCATCACCGTGGCAACAAGCCCGCCTATCCTGAGCGGCTGGTGGATCTCGCAGGCTGATCGCAGGCTGGTGCTCTGGGCTCAGTGAGTGAGTTGGTGGCGGAGCAGGCTGGCGCTGCCATCCCCGGCCATGCAGGACCTGCCCCGGCGGGGCTCTGCCCTGCCCTTCCTCAGCGCCTTCCTGCAGGGCCGCCGGCACTCGGCCTCGGACCCTGTCCTGCAGCTGCAGCAGGGCCGCCGGGGCTCCGCCGCCCAGACGCTGTCCTCGTCCTCTCTGCAGGTGATGGTGGCCGTGGCCTCCGTCCGCCGCGCCGACAGGGACTCAGCGTGCCTCCAGAGAAAAAGTAAAGCTCTTTTCCTTCTTTCAGATTGCCACAGCTTTGAGTATGAACTGAGACTGCAGGTGGCATGCTGTGTTGAGACCGTCTAGGTTTTGACAGTTAATTCTGCGTTCCGCTTTTTACCGTCTGTTGCACTCAGGGCTTTAGTGGACATGGAATAGGAGATAAAGTGATCGGATGTTTTGTGCTTTTTCACGAAAACATAATTTTTGAAAAAACCCATGCCCTTGTAAAAGATCTGCTTTTACGGTTTCTTCTTCTTCGCCACCAGTGTGACACGTGGAGGTGATCATGTGCGAGCGCCTCTTCTGTGTCGGGAGGTCCTGCTCTTAGAGCACAAGGCAGCGGTTTCACTGTGGCAGAATGAGGGGGTGCGGCAGGAACGTCGTCTCCAATCCTGGAGGGCGTTCTCACGCCAATCTTCCATCTGGAGACTGGGTTTTGAATCTTCCCTTCCGTGTACATTCTAGGAAATCCAGGGCGTCCAACGCCAAAGTACACAAAGGTTGGAGAGCGGCTGCGACATGTGATTCCTGGACATGTGGCCTGCTCCGTGGCGTGTGGCGGCAGAGCTTGCAAGTACGAAAACCCGGCGCGCTGGAGCGAGCAGGAGCAAGCCATTAAGGGGGTCTACTCGTCCTGGTGAGTGGTCCTGGGCACCCGCGCTGGGCGGTGGGGCTGTGCAGCCTGCAGGCCTGGCAGCTCCAGCAGCGGTGTGAAACCTCGTTTCCTCGTCGGTGAGATGGAAATAATAAAATCACCCCATAGTGTTTTTTTAAGCAAGTGAAATGACGTGTGTAAAGTATCTTAAAGAAATGGTGACCGGGGAGGTCTTACATGTCAGAAGTTACTGGAAATAATGGATTCGGCTCTAAGTTTGAGAAGTTACAAGGTGCGTGTGTGGTTTCCTGGTCTGACGCAGGTACCGTTGGCCTCCTGTTTGCTCACGTCTGCCGCGTGAAAGGGCGCGCGTGGGTGCACACGCTGCCCATCTGCCTCAGTGGGGAGCCGTGCGCCATGTAGGCTCAGGATGGCGTAAGGCACACGCCTCGTGCGAAGTACGGGATGTGGCTCGCTCAGCATTCGGTCATACCGCTTTCTGTTCTTAACAGTAAACTGTCAAGTATGCCTGTTTTGATGTAGTGATACCTCTGAAAACGTATGGTAATCAAGCCACATCGTGTCTGAAACCCACTAAGAGTTCACCGTTTAAAGAACTCTAGCAGTGAGTCGTTTCTTGCAGCGGGAATCCCGCTTCCAGGTCAGACGTTTGTCGACCCGCTTACCTGACTGCACCCGCGCTCTTGCGTCCTGGGCTTGCTGGTATGCGTGTGGTGGTGGAATCGGGTCGGCTGTCCCCACTGCTCCCCACAGATCGCATTCCAGCCTGAGGAGTGTTGTGAGAAAGCAAACAATGTTCCTGAGATGTGGTTGGACCCTAAATTTCTAATAATGCAGCTCGAGGCCACATTAATATTTTTGTTTCACTGTTGACTAAGCCATCTGAGTCTTTCACCTCTGATGCTTTCATGGTCCTTCTGTCCTCGCCTTGGTCTAACTACTGCTGAATTTGGGGGGTCCCCGTTAAATGTCAGGACTCGCCCTGGGGGAGAGTTGTGGTATCCTTCTGGACCCTGATCAGCTCAGCCGACGTCTCTGTTACTGCTCAGGTTCATGTGGCCCACAGCCCCCGATGGACTGCCCGGTGTTTCTCACTAGAGCCCTAAGCAGGATCCGCTGTCTGTCGGGCCTCTGTCCATTCGTACATTCCATAAAAGTCCATTCGTCTACAGGCCAGGCGCTCTGCTAGACACTGTCACATTATAATGTCATCTTCATGAAGCGCTGGAAAAGTAGACATTGTTAATGTCCTTTTAGTGATGAGAGGATTGAGTCCGGAGCAACTAAGTAATCTACTACTTAGCTAGAAAGCAGAAAAGCCAGCGTTTGAAACCAGACCCGGCTGACCCCAAAGCCCAGATGTTTCGCTAAATCACAATAAGTCGGCATTTATTCATAACCACTCGCCAGGATTTGTGCTAAAGACTTTACACCCACACCTTGTCGAATTGTCGTGCCAACCCCACGAGGCAGGTGTTATCCCTGCCTCACACAACGGGTGACTGGGGGGGCAGAATTGCCTTTGATGCCCGATGAGGTGGCTCTGTCACGTCTGCTAGAATCTCATGAGAGTCCTTGAAAACACTCTGCTGCAGTCCACAAATACTTTACGTCCTGGAATTTTTTCCAGGCTTCCAGGGTCTCTTAGAGCCCTAATTGTGATGCAAAATTGAAGCCAGAGCTGTATAAGAAAATTGTTCTACAACTGTTGAAATCGTAGAAAAAACAGGGACTTGATAACTCGTTCTCTCAGTACTTAGAGCTAGAACGTTCCAGGTTTTGTGCATCTCACCAGCCCCGTCCTCCCACCTCAGGGTCACTGACAACATCTTGGCCATGGCTCGCCCGTCCACTGAGCTCCTCGAGAAGTACTGCATCATCGAGCAGTTCCGAAGGTAAATGCTACACGCTGACACACTTCGATAAGCCAGCTCGCGTCTTCTTGTCTGTCACTTTTGACTTCAAATAGTCAAAGAGTAGGCAGTGAAGGGCTTCTTTCAACTAGGAAGTTAAGGTTTTGAGAGTTATTAGTAATGTTTATTAATGCCAAAAGATGGTTGATTTTTTTAAAACTCTAGCTCTCAATATGGTAACTTCTTTCTTTTCTCCGGTAAGCCATGGCATAAAAACAATCATCAACCTGCAGCGCCCTGGGGAGCATGCCAGCTGCGGGAACCCCCTGGAACAAGAAAGTGGCTTCACGTATCTTCCTGAAGCTTTCATGGAGGCCGGCAGTAAGTCCCCCACTTCCCCTCCGTGAGTTACCAAGGACAGCACCCAGGCTTTCGCCCACTCTGCTCTTGGGTCAGAGGGTGATGGAATGAACGAACGCTTACTGTAGGCTCCCAATGGGGGAGATGAGCTGATTGATTCTAGATAATGCGACCATTCTTCTCTGGCGTTGCTGTTGAAAGTACAGGATTTCTTTTGTCCCGTGCGAGCGATCTTGGGACGAGCCCTGTAGAAATAAAGCGTGCATGAATTGCCATCATAGTGCGCCAGACCTGTCCTACCCATCCGTCCCATCCCGTGGTACTGCTCTCTGTTCCGACTCAGACCACACGGCTTACTCATGGCAGCGGGACTGGAACACAGCACTCACTCATGCTGTTACTGAAGCCCGACTCTGCCCCTGGGTGGTACTCAGGGGTTCTTTACTGGGCAGTCCCAGGAGCCCAAGTCCGGGAGCCTAGGGATGGGGTCACTCAACACGTGCCATTCTCACCAGGCTGGAAAGGACCAGCCCAGGCCACTTTGGGGACTTGTTTCTAAGAAGCGTGTGCCTCGCTTTTTTGTCTCCACTAGGTGGAAAATCTGTATGCACCCAGCTTGTGCCACTTGCCAGTCCTTTAAACGCATTTCCACGCTTGAACAAGATGGCGTGCTGTCCTTCTGTGGCTGAGTAATTTGGGTGAAGGTCGTGGCTTTTATTAATCTGCAGTCCTGTTTCTCCTTAATTGTTTCTGGCTGAGTTTTAGCAGGAAATGTCTTGAGTAATAGAGAATGTGCTTTGTAAGAAATGCAAACAGTGAATTTACCGGAAATATAAAGAACCTATTATTTTAGCCTCCGCATGCAGTGCAGCCAGCCTGCCTCACAGCTGTGCGCTTTTCACGAATCCACGCGCTTCCTTCACACGGCTGCTCACGTACTGTCCTTTATGTTGATTTTTCTTCTCTGTTCTCTGTTTCATTGTCCAGTCTATTTCTACAATTTCGGATGGAAGGATTACGGTGTGGCATCGCTTACCACTGTCTTAGACATGGTGAAGGTGACGACATTTGCCTTACAGGAAGGGAAAGTAGCCATCCATTGTCATGCAGGGCTTGGTCGAACAGGTAAATTCTAGGAAGTGGACTTACTGTCTTAGAGCATATCTAAACCTGGACAGAGCGATGCTTCCTAATACGAGGAGAGAAGAGAAGTAGTTTTCAGAATCCTGTCGGAGTTTTGGATTCAAATGAAAGAACCCACTGAAAGAAATTTGAACTATCTTTGGAAAAGACAGTTTCAGTGACCATTTATTTGTGAGAGTATTTTTGAAAGACCTAGGACTGAAAACTCATCATATTTAGTAAACAGATGGGTTTCCACGGCTCACTAAATGATCCGTCTGGTTTTTCTTCTTCAAAGGAAAAAAAAAAAAAACCCAACACTTTAATAGTTAATGTATTTTAAAAATGGCGTTTTCCTTAACCAAAGTAATGAGAATAGAAAGCATTGTTTTATTTGGTGTGCTCTAGGCATTTTACACTTTTGTTTTTTTAAGTCTTGGGCAACAATGTGCACGTTGAAGGAGGTTAAGTAGTTTGCTACGCTGAGTAAGTGGCAGAGCCAGGATTTAAATTCAGGGCTGGAAGGATTTGGGTGGTGACGGGAGTCTATCTGTGCTTCAAATTCTATGTAAAAATCAATGATTTTACTTAAAAATGCAGCAAATCTCAGTGTAGTGCTGATACTATTACAAAAGCAAATACCTTAAGGTTAGAATCTTAATTGTAGCCTGGTCCAAGCAGACACCTGAGCTGTGCGCCAGCCCCCGGGTCTCCACGTGCCTGGGAGCATTGGGAGGGCAGGGGCTCTGTCCTGCTTGCTTAACAGACTTGGCGAACCACACGCATGTCTTCTGATTTGCCTTTTATCTTGATATTAGTCAACTGTTATTGTTGGATTAATTGATCAATTATCACCAGTATGTTATTCATTTTAATTTGATATTAATTAATGCAAATGTATAATGTTTGTAATGTTAAGTTTGTTTTCTTTAATAACAAGTACTTACAGAATAAAGTTATATCTTGGTTTGGAGAAAAGTACTATTAGTATAAACGAAAAGTCCAGAAATAGACTGAATATGAATAATAATCCCCAGGTAAAAAATACCCAGAAAGGAAAAATGCCAGGCTGGGGATGTGGCAACAACTGATGGCAAAGCTGGCAGGGGTGGGAAGGAAGTGTGCAGGGAGGGGTGATAACGGAGGGATTGTGGTCCAGCCTCTGATCCTCCTGTTCCCCAGCCCCACGGGGACCACATCAAATCCACGGTCTGCTTTCTGCTCTGAACACCCTTAAAATATCCCATCCAGTCAGTCCACACACCTTGGTGGACCTTCCCCTCACATCTCCCTCATCCCCTCTCACTTCCTTGTCCCCCTCACCACAGTCTCCCTCATCCCCCCACCATACTCCCCCTCGTCCCCCCACCACACTCCCCCTCGTCCCCCCATCCCCTCGCCACCTCCCCCTCGTCCCCCCATCCCTTGCCACACTTTCTTGGTCCCCCTCACCCCCTCTCACTCCTGCATCCATCCCCATCACCCACACTGTCCTTCTCTGGGTAGAGAGATGACTGGATTCTCAGGGGAAGACGTGACATACAGACAGGGAATAAACACTTGTACAAGAAGTCAGTAAGTTATAGTGGCTCTTAAAATAATTCTTAATATGCTTTCCTAACACATACTCAAATTTTAAATCTTGAAGAGTGATAACTAAACGATAACCTTCTTCATACCAATCTTCTCTTTATCTCTAGGCGTTTTAATAGCATGTTACTTGGTTTTCGCCACGAGAATGACTGCTGACCAAGCAATTATATTTGTTCGGGCGAAGCGACCCAATTCCATACAAACTCGAGGACAGCTCCTCTGTGTAAGGGAATTTACCCAGTTTCTCATCCCTCTCCGCAATATATTCTCTTGCTGTGACCCCAAGGCACACGCCGTTACTTTAGCACAGTATCTGATTCGCCAGCGGCATCTGCTTCATGGTTATGAGGCCCGCCTTCTGAAACACGTACCCAAAATCATCCACCTCGTTTGCAAACTGTTGCTGGATTTAGCTGAGAACAGGCCAGTGGCGACAGAAGAGGTGGCAGAGGGGCCCAGCCTGTGTGCGGAAATCGAAAAGACTGTTTCTGAGGTGATCACCATGCAGCTGGACAAAGAGTTACTGAGGCAGGGCAGTGACGCCTCAGACTCCTTGCCGCCCGCTGCAGTGGCCGTGGATTTTGAGAATCAGGATGTGATTCTTTCCAGCGAACAGCAGATTGACCCTCTTTGGAAGAGGCGGAATGTTGAGTGCCTTCAGCCCCTGACGCCTCTGAAAAGGCGATTCAGCTACAGCGACTCTGACTTAAAGAGGGCTGAGTCACTTCTGGGGCAGGGGGCAGCTCCATGGACGGGGCCTGCCGCAGCCTTGCTTGGCCATAACCCCAGACAGCAGAAGCCCATAAGCCACTGTCACACCCCCCAGTCTCCACAGCTTGATCTGAGTAAGGAAACGCTGGTCCGAAATACATTCTCTTTCTGGAATCAAGCTAAATTTGGAGGCCTGGAAGGACTCAGGGATGAGGGGTCACCGGGTTTCCATAGGGAGACTGCTGCGAAGGAAGTACAGCGGAGTAGAACCTTCTCCTCGGGGGTTTCGGGTCCCTACAACCCTGGGGATCCAGTGAGACCCAGCTTTGCGGATGTCCCTGGGGAACCGGACCGTTGTCCCCAGCAAGCGCCCCGTCTGTGTGGGGCTCCCTCCGCTCACTGCTCTGAGACTCCCCGCAGCCTCGGGGACCGTGACTTCCTCTGCAAAGTACCCTCCTCGGTTGGACCCACAGCCCAGGAAGGCAAAGACCTGCCTGAGGTCACTGCGCACACTGCTTCGCAGGCCAAACTGAGTGCCGAAGCCAGGAGAGTGCTGGCTGCCAAAGCCCTGGCAGATCTCAGTGAGCTTGCAGAAGAGGAGGGAGTGAAAAGGAAGGTAGAGATGTGGCAGGTACTTCTACTTCACTTAACTAACGTGTGGGAAGCACTTCGGTCGGGGCCAAAACAGCGTCTTACCAAATTTAAGTGCGACAGGAATCTGAAGACCTGTTTGTGTCACACTTAACTTTGGAACTTGAGGTTTCTCGGTGTCTGTGTGAAAGAACGGGCTCAACACCTAGTACTTAGGGTGCTTGAGTGAGCAGGGCGTGGGTGCTCGTTGACGGGTCGGGCGGGGGGCTTCCTTCTGGCTGGGCCCGTGAGACCTGGCCTGGGGGCCGCTCTGAGCATCTCTAACCAGAACTCAGGTCAGGGAGCTGCACCTGGAGAACCACAGAGAGAGGTTCTTTCCCCGAGTGGTGGACCCAAGTGCTGAG